TCGGGTTTGGGGGTGGTTTTGTGTGGGGCGGGCAGATGGCACAATATCCTAAATGATTGAAAATTTAATTTTTTTTTTCTCTAACCTTTACTGTTGGATACATGTTAGTAAATATTTTAGCCACCAACGTGCACACTCTATGGGACAATGTTGTTCTTTGTGTTTGAAGGTATAGACAACCTGAAGTAAATAGATAAATAAATAAATAACAATTTGTCCCAAGTGCAGTGAATGTGCTTAAATCAGCTACATCTTCTATAGCATTTAAATAGTACTTTATCTTTTTTTGTTTTGTTTTGTTTATTTATTTCCTGTGATATTGTGAAATATGACATAACAGAGTAATGGAATTTTTAAAAATGAGCTCATCTGGAATTGCTCCACTCAGGGTGGCTGCATGTTGAAGCAGCTCTGTTACGTTCATTCTGAGATGTTGCTTTTTGAAACATTAATTTTTCTTTTGCTGAATGTAAATCACTTTTTTGGATGATTGTTTCCTCTGGTAATGGATGCTGTGCAGCTGGAAGGATTTTTACGGAAACTTGTTTAGTTTTGGACATTAGTTATGATGCGTAATCATGACAATGAGTCCATGCACAATAATCCAGGTATACAATCCAACAATTTTCAGTAAGGTCATCTGACCAGTTTATTTTTTCGTGTGTGTGCTGAAACGTTTCACCTTCCAACCAGAAGGCTTCATCAGTCAAGGAAATGCACAGTAACATGGAGTAAGCTATTGGGGGGGGACTGCCAATTTGACCTGACTGAAAATTGTTGGATTGTATACCTGGATTATTGAGCATGGACTTTGTTGGTTTTGAACCGATTTAACATGACTGTTGATGAGGAAAAGGGCCGGCACCGGAGGAGGGGGCGTGCCAAAGACACCATCTTAGCACCAACATAACTGGTTTGTTCCACTTTGGAGTAAGCGGTTGGGGGAATAATCAGTTTTGTGTTGTGTTTCCTTGACTGACGAAGCCTTCTGGATGGAAGGTGAAACGTTTCAGCACACAAAAATAAATAAATAAATAACCTGTCCAGATGACCTGACTGAAAATTGTTGGATGACAAGAAGTTTATTTATTTTTTTTTTACAACCAGGAGCTGCTGATTAACATCTCATAAGCTCAAATAATATTTCAGTTACAGCCTCGAATCTCAAATGAGTTGAAAAGGAGGCGTCGTAGATGCATTCATGTCTTCCTGCTGGATGTGCTCGAATGCCTGACCACAGAGATCCTTGACAATTCAAACGCAGCTTGTGACAGCAGAAGGACCAGGATCGTCCCTCAGCACTTGCAGCTGGCTGTCCACAGTGACGAGGAGCTCGGCAGGCTGCTGGGAGAAGTGGCCATCACTCTGGGAGGAATTCTGCCTAGCATTCGGGCAGTCCTGCAGCCTGGAAGAACCGAGAGGCCAGCCAAGTCTGAGTGGATGACTCAGACGGCATCTGCAGCCAGTTTCTTCAGATCCACTTTGGGATGGACCTTTACAAGAGATCCTCCCTGCCTACAACCATAAGTATCTATAACATCTCGTAATGAAATGAGGATAATGAGTTACAACATTTAATTTCCCTTTGGGATTAATAAAGTATTTTTGCATTGAATTTGATTTGAATATTAGGGACTGAACTTGGCCAGGTTACTTTCATTACTGTCTTGTCTTACGTACTTATGTCTACTGTTTTTTGTGTAATGTTTAACCATTGTTGTGCACAAGTGTTTACACAAACTTACTTTTTAACTCCCAACCCTAAAAATAATTCTAACAAGTTTTGTGACCCCGTTTATTGCTAGTTTAAATGTGCCAAAAATGGCTAATAACCCAATTAAGCATGCATAATAACAAGACGAACAATTTTAACAACTTTTTTTTATTAACTGCTGTTTTTTATCATTTGTAACAACAATTACAGAGAGAGTGCGTCATAAGCAATCATTTTGAAACATAAGTTGATGACTGGACTTTATCTAAGGAGCCCCAGCTGGTGCTGTGTGACCCACACACCTTAGCTTTGGGCAGCACTGTGTAAATCTAAAACAGAGGAGCATGAAGAGGTGGCTGAGGAAAGTGAAGGGTCTCCATGCACAAGCTGTTGCCCTGACGACCTGAATATGGAGCAAGTGGAAGATGGATGGATGGAAATAAAAACCTTCAGTTAAATGGAACTTATGGCTCCCTTTACAAACTGAAAATGGGTTAAAAAAGTAAATATCATGATTGTTATATTTTCTATGAATTGTGTCCTTTTCATATTTTGCTAGTTCTTACCAACTAATTGAAATTGTGTTCATATCATTAGACAATATTATTATTATTGTTTTCATTATATTATTATTATCATGATGATTTAGTTTTCCTTTTTAATATAAAATCCTGTTCAATTAAAAAAAAATGTCTGATTGCTCGAGATATGCAATGCGTTTCATGTAATAAAGAGAGAACAAAAAAAAAAAAAAAAGAAAAAGCGGTCAGATAAGAGGTCAGATAAAGAAACGACTCAGATAAGAGGTCACTTGTAACTTGATCGATCGCGGAGTGGAGAGGCAGGCGGTCCACGCTGGGTGATCCGGTTCTGCGCGCCGGACCAACATCCAAGAATAGCAGCGAGCGCTGATACCGAGCGACCGAGATGGAGGAGGAAGTGGTGGATTTAACAACTGTTGCTTTTGTTGCTGCTGCTGCGGAACCAACTAACCTTCAGTCCGTGCTGCAGGGCGCGTGTCGGACTAGAATAAACTGTATTCCAAGCCGAGACACTCATTGTGGATCAGAGTCCATGGGGATATGCAAATCGCTGCGTGTTTAAGGTAAATCAAATTTACAAATTAAAAATAAATAAAAGGAAGACAAGGGAAAAACAAAAAGCTCCCCCTGCTCCTGGTTTTACAGGAGTAGGATCTGCTCGTCCATTCAGTGTTTGCCATATGGATTGGCTGACAGGCGCTTCTGCTGGGAGGCGCATGTCTGCTGCCGCTGCGGACAAGGAGCGTCTGTCTGATGAATGGGAAGCCAGACTGGCTGTACTGTAGACAGCGGTGATCGGATAACCTGTTGAACTGCAGCTGTCAGTCAGCTCATGCAGGCAGCAACAAAACAGACACAAAAAAAAAAAAAAAAAAAAAAAAAAA